CGCCTCCCGGGGACCGAGACGCCGACCCACCGGCCGCCCTGAAGGCCAAGCGGGGCACTGAGACCCCCGCGCTCGGGACACCCCTCCCCCACTAAGCCGGTCTGACCCCGCCCATCGGGACGCGGAACCCGCCCCCCATGCTGATCCGACGGCCGAGGAGCACTGACCCCGCCCACAGGACACTGATTTCCGCCAAGGGACCCTGTGCCACCTTGACATTCTCTTTGAAGGGGCACTGAGCTCTCCCTGGGGACCCTGGGCTTTTCCTACACCAAAGTCCTCTGCAGCAGGCACACTGAGCCTCCCTGGCCCCATTCGCCATTGAGGGCTGTTCGCTCCGTAGGGGGGCCCCTTGCTCTGTGAGTCCTGGTGAGCCCTCACTTCTCTGATTCCTCAATGGGAGCTTGTCTCCAGGGCACTAGCACAGTTCCTGGAGACTCTAGAGTAACAACTGTAGGGTGAATGGTTGCACACCATACTCCCCCCATGCATCCCCAATTAGGGCACAGATCTACTTTCCCAGGTCTGTGCTCCAGGGCCCTGCTGTCCTCAGTGGAACACGGAAGAGGAGTCAGGAGGGTGGCATTGGGAAGACTCGTAAGATCCCTTCCTGCCCAGAGCTGCCCAGTGAGGTTCCCATGGGAAAATGTGTTCAAACCCCCCAGAGCAGTGGACTTGGGGCTTCGATCTCAGCTCCCCTTGCCTTGGGCCCTGGAACCTCTTCCTTTCATCCGTTCATTCATAAAATACTGAGTGAAAGTTACCTGGTGCCACCATTCCTTGTGCTTCAGGTCTTGTCTGCAAATCAGGGATAAGGGTCTACAGCACCCCTGCCGGGGCTCCCCCAGCCTGGCAGGATCTGGAGTCTTTCTGTGTGTGACCTCCAAATGTACAATCCCCAGCACCTGGGAGGGTTTCGAAAGGAGTGCCTTAAGGATTCCATGGAGCACATGCACCTGGTTTATTCTGTGCTGTGCAGTACAGTGTCTGGCCCTGGTAGTGGCTTGGCCCTGGGTTGGGCTCTGGAAGGGAGGGTTTTGGGGGTGTGGATACAGATGGGAACAAGATAATGTGGGGACATAGGTGGGCTGCTGTCTTCTGTGGGACATGTGACAACTGAGCTAATGGAGGCACAGGGGTGGGGGCTCAGGAGCAGGGGCTTGAAGAATGAAGGAGGGGGCACTGGGATTGGATCCATGCATTGGAGTCAAGGGCTTGAGGGGTCTTCTGTTTCATCTGGGAGCAGGCAGAGAGGCAGGAGGTGGGGAAAGGGCCTAGTATGAGAAGGAACTTGGATGTCAAGCTAAGCCATTTGGTGGTCCCGAGTCTACTGGCATCAGAATGCAGGCCAGCGCCTGCCTGTCTTACATGTGCAACCTTGGGAAAATCACCGAACCCCTCCTGTCATCAGTTTCCTCTTCTGTAAGGTGGGGTTGATAATTAGACCTACTTCTCGGAATTGTGAGGGTTAAATGAGATAAAAACCATTCAAGCAACATTAGTTATTATGAGTAGTGCTACTAGGCAGTAGGGGATGATGACTGTTTTATTCCTTCATTTATTCAGTAAGTACTTATGGAGTTACTACTCTGTGCTGGACACTGTACCTGGTAATGGAGGTACCAACCAAGCAAACAAAAACCCTACCCACTGTCCCACACCTATAGAGGGAGACAGGTGTATAAACAGTATTGATAATTCCATGTGCTCTCTCAGAGGGCCAGGACTGGGAAGACCTCCCAGGGAGACACAGTCTTCAATGAGATGGCCAAAGCCGGGTGAGGGGCTTCTGGCAGAGGGCCCCATCTGAGTAGAGGCCCCAGGAGAAAGGTGCGTGCAGAGCCCAGGCCATGCTTCTGGGGTGGGTAGCGCCAGGCAGCGAGAGGCAGGAGATGCGGTTGGCCAGGTTGCTGAGGGCCTCTTTTGTTGGCCAAGGAGGGTGGACAGAGGCCTGGG